GTAGCGGGGATGCTGTGGATGGTGATGATGCGGTCGAAGAAGAGTCGAGCAGTTGCTTCAGCTGTAGCTGTGGCGTTGGTCGGTATGAAGTGACCCATTTTGGAGAACTTATCGATCACCACAAGGATGGAATCATGTCCCCGTGAGGTCGAAGGAAGTCCTGTGATGAAGTCGAGGCTAACGACCTGCCATGGCTGCTCCAGTACGGGTAGAGGCTGAAGTAACCCTGCTTTTTTCTGCTTGCTGCTCTTCATCCGCTGGCACGTGTCGCAAGAGGTGACGAACTGCTGCACGTCCGCTGCCATCCCGGACCAGTAGTAATACTTCGCTATCCCTGCTAACGTCTTGTTGCTCCCGAAATGTCCCGCGTAAGGTACGTCGTGAAACTCCTCCAATAGGATCTGCCGTAGCGGGGCGTAATTCGGTACCCAAATCTTTCCTGAACCCTTCCTTACAGCTAAGTCTTTCTCCCACTGTAATAGCTTCTTGGTCTGTGTTGTAGCAATCTCTGCGTCCACGGAGTACCCATGTTGGAATAGACCCTTGAGCAGAGGGTTCATCCCGTCGAGCTGGATGCCTGCTACATGTCCGGGGCGGCTCAACGCGTCTGCCTTGTTGTGTAGCTCGGGCTTGTAGACGATGTCGTAGTGGAAGTGAGTTTCCAGGAAGTCCACCCACCGCACCTGTCGTCGTGAGAGTGTCGGCTGTGACTTCTGGTATTTGAGACTGCAGTGGTCAGTATAGACTGTAGTCTTGGCTCCCTCTAGGTAACACCTCCACGCCTTGAAGGCTATGACTATCGCTAAGGCTTCCTTGTCGTGAATGGGGTAGCTTAGTTCTGCTCCGTGTAGCTTCTTACTGAGGTAGGCGATGGGCTGCAAACCGCGTCCGTGATCCTGCATCAGTACCGCTCCGACTTCTTGGTCACTAGCGTCTGCTTCCACCACGTAGTCCTTGTCGGGATCTGGCAAGATGAGTACTGGCGCTGTAGTCAGTGCTGTCTGTAGCTGCTCCATGGCTTGCTGATGAAGGGTATCCCATTTGTAGGGCGTATCCTTTTTCAGAAGGTCGGTCAGTGGCGCTGCTATCTTAGCGTACTGCGGCACGAACCTGTTGTAGTGGTTGGCGAAGCCTAGGAACTGCTGTAACTCCTTCACGTTCTCTGGTACTTTCCACTTCTTGACGGCTTCGATCTTCCGTGGGTCCACGTGTACGCCCTCGGCACTCACCATGTGCCCGAGAAACTGCACCTTCTTCAGGGCGAAGTCGCTCTTTGATAGCTTCACGTAGAACTTAGCAGGGGTCGTAAGATGTGATTCATCTCCGCCTGAAACGTTGCTGGTGCGTTGCAGAGTCCGAACGGCATCACCAGGTATTCGTAGGAGCCGTATCTGGTACGGAATGCCGTCTTGTGGATCGAGTTGTCCGCCATCTTGATCTGCCAGTAGCCCGATCGTAGGTCCAGTTTCGAAAATACTGTTGCTCCACGCAGTTGATCGAGTAGGTCGTCTATGCGCGGTATGGGATATTTGTTTTCGACTGTCTGTTTGTTCAGTGCGCGGTAGTCGATGCACATCCGTAGACTGCCGTCTGGTTTTGGAGTGAAGAGAACTGGTTCACCGTAGGGAGAGGTGGATGGGCGGATCAGTTGTCTGTCCAGTAGATACTCTATCTGTTTTTTCATGTCTGTCAGTTCAGTCGGACTTAGTCGGTATGGTGCACGTGAGACGGGTTTCGCACCTGGTTCCTCCACGATCTCGTGCTCGTGGGTGCGTGCTGGAGGTACGCTCGCAGGTAGGTCGTCGGGCTTTATATCCTTGTACTGCTCCAAGACCTCTTTCACTGCTGCAGGTAGCTCGGAACTCGGCTTCTCCTCCTCTGCTGCTGCCATAACCAGTGCTACATAACCCGTGTTACTCTCGTTCACCGTCTGTTCGAACCGTGCCAGTGTCGTTTCAGGTACGTCCCCTGTATCCGTCCAGCTTCGCAGTGCTATCCGCTTCCCATTGTTGTAGATGCACACCTTGCTGTTGACCCAATCGATCTCGGGGTTGAACCGCTTCAGGAAATCTCGCCCCAAGATAAAATCTAATCCTTTGATGTTGGTGACTAATAGCTTCGGCTTCCACCTCAACGCACCTATATGCAGTTGCAGTGATGCTTCCCCGTGGATAGGAAGCTTCGTACCGTCCACCATGGTTGCTGAAAACTGGGTCTCTTCCGCCTTCTCTCCAATTTTCTCCAATGCTCCGCGGTCACACACCGAGTGAGATGCACCGCTGTCCACTTGTGCCTGGAGGCGTCGCCCATTGCATAACACCTCGAGGAGTAGTGGTTTCTGCTGTGCTAAGTAGCCGAAGAGGGTCTTGTTAACAGGATCATAGGGTACATCAAACTTAATACCTTCCCTTTTTCCTATACCTGACTCAGCGCTTTCCAACTTCACCTGGGGGGTAGGAGGATTTTTCCGAGGCTTGTATAATTTTTCCTGAGCCTGGATGCCTCCTCTAAGCCTTGGCAGCTGTGTAGGCTTCACCTGTGGGCGACGGGGAGCCTTAACACTGTGCTGCGGGGAGAGAATATTAACTCCACGGAACGCACGACCCTTTTCTACGCTCCGTAGTACTTTGCCCAACTTCTCAGGTACCTGAATAATTTCTAAAGGCTTTTTCTTGGCCTCTAGACCTCCCCTGAATTTTTTGACGGCTTGTAAACCACGAGAAGCAATATTCTTCGTTAGAGCATCTTTATAGGATACTTTTAACGAATTCTTACTTTCGTGGGTGTTCGGCTGGAGTTTCCCGGTCGGTGCAAAGTCTTTTTTCGCGGAGCCTCCATTCGCCTCGGCGATTTCCCCTGATGCCGGCCGGTCATGACGTTTTAAATTCGCGCCATCATTTTCTCCTTTTTTCACCCGCTCCTAAGTCGCCACGTCGTCGCCTTTTCCTACTTTTCGGATCTTTACGCGATCGCCACGTCGATCCGCGGCTACTGGCGATTCCCGTTTTTTTACTTCGGGGGTGCTCCACTGTTTCCGTCCCGGAGTGCCGCACGTGCTTTCTTCATTTTGTAGCACGACAAAAACTGATGTCCTACTGCGCCTCAAAATTCGCATTTTGTCGGCTGCTGCTTCGCGTCGTATTTGTCGATATCCATCGGTTTGGTGAACGTGGGGGGTGCCGATCGCTCCGTGCCAAATGTACGGTTCGGCGTGAAGATCAGTGTCCAGCAGTGTCCGCTGTGGCAAAGACCAAGTCCTCGACGTACACGAGAATGTAGAACAGCGGCAGAGAAGTGTAGGTGCGCAGAAACAACGACGGGTCAGCAGTAGAGGGAGCAAACCCAAGAGCCGCAAGCGTAGTCCTCAGTGTGTCGTGCCACTCACGTGGTGCCTAGCAGAGACCGTAGACTGGCCGTCGGAGGCTCCACTGGGTGCCAGGAGGGAAAGTCCCAGTGAAGCCAGGTGGACGGCGCAGCCAGATCTCCTCGTGCAGGCTGCCCTGCAAGAAAGCAGTGCTGAAGTCAAGAGAGTGGAGCTTGTAGTCGCGCTGAGCGGCTATGTGCAGCAGCACCCGAAGAGTGGTCATCTTCGGGGTGGGAGAGAAGGTCTGAAAGTAGTCAACTCCTTGCCGCTGACTGAAGCCACGAGCCACGTACCGCGCCTTGAAGACAGGTGGAGAGCCCGGCGGCCGCTTCACCCTGAAGATCCACATCCCACTGACGATGTTCGCCCCAGGAGGGGGAACCGCGTCAACGTAGGTGCCTGTGGACTTCCAGGAAGCCATCTCTGCATCCATAGCTGCCTGCCACTGAGAGGAGTAGGGACCCTCTTTGGCCTCCACGTAAGAGCGCGGAGTCAGGATGTCTAGTGCATCCGGGTCTCCCTCAGGGGCAAGCAGTACAGACGCGAGATGAGGTGAAGCAGCAGCCAGACACTGAAACTCCTCCTGCCTGTCCTCAAGGACGTCCGTGCCAAGAGCACACTCACCCCCGACGGACAGAGGACAGACAGACGCAGACTCAGCAACAAGACTAGCAGCGTAGTCTAGACGACAGCGAGCAGCAAAGTCGACGAGCTCAGCAACAAGAGCAGACGCAGCAGTGGACTCAAAGGAGGGGTCAGTGACGACACTAGCAAGGAGACGCGTGACAGTAGGACTGGCAGCACGAAGAGAGTCCGACTCAGGGTCGGCAAGCGCAGGAAGAGAGGACTCAGGAGGAGAGGGCAAAGGGGCACGCAGAGGAGCAGTGGACGGACGCAGAGACATCCGGTGCGTGCCAGGGACAGGAGGAGGACGCTGACGCGAACTACGACCACTAGTGCGAGCAGTACGAACAGGCGACGCAGGACGAGACGCAGGCTCACGACGCTCAGCAAGACCTCCAGTAGGACCAGTGTAGGGAGAGGGAGAAGGCAGTGGGGAGGCCGGCGGTAACTGAGACTGCGACTGGACAGGCGGTGGATCCTCTAAGAGAGGAGGAAGACCAAGAACCTGCTGAAGGAGCGGAACGAAGTACGGCCGAGGCCGCGCGGTGGCACCAGGCACAGCAGGGACAGCACCAGCACCCTCAGCACCTCCGACAGCAACAGCGCCAACAGCACCTCCAGCGGCAGGACCTCCAGCAGCGCCAGCAGCACCCGCAGCACGACCACCACCAGGACGAACAGTAGTAGTCTCAGAACCAACACCCTCAACAGCTCTAGCTCTAGGCGGACCCGCAGGCCCAGCAGCTCCGGGACCGCCGGAACCAGCACCCTCAGCGGCCGAAGAAGCGCCAGCTCCAGCAGTACGCCTCCAGCGGCGAGCAAACCACTCGCCCAGCTCCTGTGGAGAGAGTGGCCGCGCGGATCCAGTCAATCAACACCTCAGTGACATCACCCTTGCTGCGCAAGGGGAAGATTGTGGTGTAACGCGAGTAGTCGTCAACCACCAGCAGGAAGTAGCGCTCGTGACCATGTCCACGGACGCGGGCCGGGCCCCACACGTCCATGTGAAGCGTCAGCACAAGAGCCTCTGTCGGGGGAAACTGGGAGGAGTGGGGGGCAGCCCGGAGCCGCCCCTCGACACAGGGGACACAGGAAGGTCCTGGCCCCGAAGGAAGGGGAGGGAGAGACCGGGGGAGACCAGAGACAAGGACACGGGAAGCCATGCCCCGAAGACGAGGCAAGGAGGGGTGGCCAAGACGGTGGTGCCACAAGAGAGTCTCGTGAGACAGGAGGCGACACGAGCAGGACCAGACCTGGACGCAGCAGCAAACACCTGACCTGACGCAGCTACCTGACCAGACGCAGGGACTGGAGGAGACTCAACGGTCAGGGTGTAGAGACTCGACCCGGGCCGACGCGAAAACGTGGCTAGGTGTCGGCTTGTGCGGGCGTCCAAGCAGTGGGTCCCGCGCTGACTCGCAGGAGTAAACTGGTGAACCCCCGCATCCTGCAGGTCAGCACCACTCACCAAGTTCGTCGAGAACGAGGGGAGGTACAGACCCGACAGGGTGCCCGAGGGGGCAGCCGGACACGGGAGGACAGTGGAGAAGTGAGCGAGGACAGGACCCCTAGAGGGGTCTTCCAGGGAGACTGCAACCGGCCGACCAAGCGGCGTGAGTGTGGTGCGGTCTCGAAAGAAGGAGCGAGAAGCCCCTGAGTCGAGTGTGAAGGTGAGAGAGGCCAAAGCCGACGCAGTACCTAAGAGCGCAGCCTCACCAGTACCTGAGAGTGCAGACGCACTGGCACCTAGAGCAGTAGCCTCACAAGCACCTAGCGCAGCTGTACTAATGCCCGGGTCGGGCGGGAAACACCGGTAACAGTCACCCTCATCACTAATAGTCACAGCATACATGGCAGCAAGGATAGCATCAAACGGGGAACTGCTGACGCCAAGCGTCCGTCAGGCGGCCAAAGCAGCGCTGGGTGGAGTGGGCACCCCCACACTGCTCACCCGCGTGATCGCCGGAACGAAGAACGTAGGTGCACGGGCCAAGACCCCCACCACGCTGACGCTGCGTGTACCACTCACGGAGCTGCTGAGGCAGGGGGATGTCCCGAGAACGCTGCTGCTTCTGCTGCTGCTGGCGCTGACCACCACCAGAGCCGCTCCGCTGCGGGGCACTACCCCGACCGGCTCCACCTCCTCCGCCACCGCTGCCTCCACCTCCGCCACCACCGCCGCCTCCGCTACCACCGCCGCCGCCGCCACCGCCGCCGCCTCCGATGCCGCCACCACCACCACCACCCCCACCACCACTCCCACCACCACCCCCACTCCCTCCGCCACCGCCACCGCCACCTCCACCGCCCCCGCCAGCTCCACACGCGCCCTTGCCCCCCTTGCCCTTGCTAGGGCGGCGTCTCCCGCTAGGGGCAGACGCCGCGCCGACCGACTCAAGACCAAGTAGGTCGGCAGCAGCAGCAGAGGCAACAGAGGGCAGCAGGGGGGAAGGAGAACACCCCTTAAAGATGGGGGTGCGCAGGTCACCACGAGAGGCTCCTACAGCGACTATGCTCTTCTCCGCCGCTAGGAGGGCCTTCTCGAGGAGGTCAACAGTGAGGGTGGTGGGACAGACTGAGAGGAAGTGGTCCCTGACTACGCTAAGGGAGTCAGGGAGGCGAGTGACTATGTAATAAAGAGCGATGTACATGGGGGGGGGGGTTCGTGGCGCAGAACTCAGCAGGAAGTGCAGCGCGGTAGCGAGTGTCAGAAGTGCAGAGGTGCGTGATGAGGTCAGCGACTGTAGGAAAGGCAGCAAGGTCAGGAAAGAGGTACGGTAGCATGAGGCGGCTCAGTGCAGCGGTGGCAGGGGAAGAGTAGCGCGCAACTACGGCGTCGTACAAGGTCTGAGCACTCTTGTACTGACTAAAGTGCGCGCGCTCAGTGGTAGGCAGGTGGCGATGCACACCAAGACGTGCAGCAGCATCGCGGGTGGCCCACTGAGAGCGAACAGTGGGGTCAGCATCAGCAGCAGGAGCAGGGCAGGCGCCAGAGGTGAGGTCAAAGAGAGAAAGACCGTCCGCCCTATCGCACTGTAAAAACAACTGTAGGTCGTCGACCCAGACCTCAAAGTCAATGGCTCGACCCTCAGCGTCAAAAGTGAGGACACTAGGGGTAGCCATGACGACAGACTAGCAGTGCAAGCAGTGGGGGGAAGGGCACGCAGTAGCAGTGGGGCTGTGCTCACCAGACAGGGCAGGTCGGGCGGCTCGGCAGTAGTGCGGCTCGGCTGCGCTGCTGCTCGGCGGCGGCTGCTGGGCGGCTCGGCTGTACTGTGGGTCGGCAGCCCGGCGGCTCGGCGGCTGCTGCTGGGCGGCTCGGCTGAACTGCGGCTCGGCGGCTGCTGCTGGGCGGCTCGGCTGCTCCGGGACCGGGCAGCGTGGCGGGCGGCTGCTCGGGCGACTCGGCAGGAGGGGAGACCGGCGGGGCCGCGAAGGTGAGGCGGCGGGGCCGCTATGTGAGGGCGGTGGGGCCGCGAAGGTGAGGCGGCGGGGCCGCTACGTGAGTGCGGCGGGGCCGCGACGTGAGGGCGGCGGGGCCGCGACGTAAGGGCGGCGGGGCCGCGACGTAAGGGCGGCGGGGCCGCGTAGGTAAGGGCGGCGGAGCCGCGAAGGTGAGGGCGGCGAGGCCGCGAAGGTGAGGCGATGGGGCCGCGACGTGAGGGCGGCGGGGCCGCGACGTAAGGGCGGCGAGGCCGCAACGTGAGGGCGGCGGGGCTGCGGTGTGAGGGCAGCGGGGCCGCGACGTGAGGGCTGCAGGGCCGCGACGTAAGGGCGGCGGGGCCGCAACGTGAGGGCGGCGGGGCCGCGACGTGAGGGCGGCGGGGCCGCGAGGTGAGGGCGGCGGGGCCGCGACGTGAGGGCGGCGGGGCCGCGACGTGAGGGCGGCGGGGCCGCGACGTGAGGGCGGCGGGGCCGCGACGTAAGGGCGGCGGGGCCGCGTAGGTAAGGGCGGCGGGGCCGTGGAGATAAGGGCGGCGAGGCCGCGTAGGTAAGGGCGGCGTAACGGGCCGCTAGGGGCGACACGGAGGGTCGCGAAAAAAAAGAACGCGCGCCTCGAGGCGCGCTTCGGTGGGCCCTGGGAACAGTCCCTAGGAGGGGACCTGCTCTGATACCATGTGAAGAAGTGAACGTGAATGAATGAACTATGAAATGAATGGGTACAAGTACTAACCCTAATTGGGTTGTACCCCCTATGGGATACCCCACTATAACCTACACAAAAGCATAAGCTATAATGTTCTGACACGGTTCGGCGTGAAGCGTCGTGTTTCGGGTTGACTTCGAGTCAGCGCGTCGTATCGCTCGGCAGCACGCACGATGTCTCTGTAGCTGTTGTAATTCGCCGCAATCACCTGCCGCCGAATCTCCATTTTTAATCCTTCGGTGTACGGCTGGATTTTTTCGCCTTCGGTCAGGTCGGTGATGCGGTTGAACAGTAACTCCATCTGCTGCGTGTACTGTGTTACACTACTGTATTGCTTGTATCGGTGTATCTGCTGCCGCGCCATGTAGGTTGCATTAATTGGTTCGAAACGCTCGATTAAATCTGCCCAAAACTGCTGCCACGTTTTCTCCCCGCGGGCTACGTCGGTGTAGTAAATCCATTCGAGAGCCGGTCCACGTAACAGTGTCGCTGTGAGCCGAATCCTTGCTGCGTCGTGTTGCGGGGTCGAACAGCCAATGGCCTCGAAGTAAATTTCGAGGGTGGCCACGAATCGCCGGACGTCAGATCCCTTCGCGCTTGGATCGAACGTCTCCGGGAGCCTCGGTCGTGCTGCTTCGAGGTTCGGCGACAGTGGTGCCATTGGTCCGTGAAATGTCAGTGTCGCCACTGCTGCTGGAGTTGTCGGTGCTGCAGTCGCTGTGGTCGCTGCTGCTGCGGTGGCAAACCCTGGTTGGCTTGTCAGAAAAGCCTCGAGTCGACGAAGCGTCGCCTGCGTCTGCTCCATGTCGGTGCGGAGGCTCGCGATGTCGCTCGTAGTCGCGTAGTTGTCGCCTTGGTCCTCCATTTGGTGATTTACAGGAAGATGCGCGACGAAAATAATCGAATTCTAGGTGCTGGTCGACTAACTGCGAGTCAAGTTGACTGTAGAATCGACAAGCGCGAATTCTGTAGGTTGCGTAAATCTCCCTTAGGCGAAATTCGCGTCCGATCTCGGCCGTTGAGGAGAAAATCGATCCGACGCTCCAAATTCCAACTTTTTTGGGCGAAATTCTCTGGGCCGTTGAGATGAAACTCGATCGAACGGTCGAAACTCCAACCTTTCCACCAGTAAATCTAAGGGGTGTTCGAAAACCTAATCGAGGGGGACTTAGAAAAATTACGCGGAACTGGTTTTACATACCCGTATCGGCGCTTTCGTCGTCGCCCCCGCGGTTTTTAAAGGCCGGAACTAAGCGGTTGAAGACCTCGCGTGTAAACCCGCTCTGATTACCAAGTGTGAGGATCTAGGATCGAGTTCAGAAAAGAGAATGAGAATTGAGTCGAATTGAATTGAATTGAATTGAATTGAATTGAATGTCCACCTGGGTACAACACGAGGCTATATATAGGCTCGACACAAGGCCACGTAACCAGGTGTTACGCGAAGGTTCCACGGGTCGCGAAGCGTCCCGAACAGATCCTTTCCGAATTCGGTAGAAGGCAATTCGGTGGCAACCGAAAAGCCAGAATTCGGTGCACGCAACCTAGCTTGGTGCTATAACTATAATAAAATATAGGAAAGCACCTAGCCTAGGAAATCAAGCAATTCATGCATGCATATGATTATCCTATGCTAGAAATAGCATGATAAAGTAGAGGCAAGCAAGCATAGCTGGCATAAGCCGTCGTACTCTCACAACGGGGCCGCTAGGGCGGCTAGGAGGGGGTCGCGAGGGCGGCTTGAAGAGGCCGCGAGGGCAGCACGAAAGGGCCGTGAGGGCGGCGCGAAAGGGCCGCGAGGGCGGCGCGACGCGGCCGCTAGGGCGGCGCGACGTGACGGGGCCGCGAGGGCAACGCGACGGGGCTGCAAGCGCGACGCGACGGGGCCGCTAAGGCGGCGCGACAGGGTCGAAAGAGGGGAGCGCGACTCGGGCAGAGTCTGAGCGCGCTCCGAGTAGGAAAAATAAAGGTGGTGGGCCCTAGGAACAGTTCCCACAGGGGAACCTGCTCGATACCATGAGAAAATGAACGAGAATGAAAATGACTAAGGGAAAGTTGGGTACAAGTACAAACCCTAGAAAGCTGTACCCCATATGTGCTGCCCTACTATAGCCTACAACAGCTATGTCATATAAATCTGACAATGAGCACTGAAGCGGATTGAACTGTCGGTCGAGTAAGGGCATCGGCAATGTAATTCGTCCCTTTCTTGTATGTGATGCGGTAGGTGAAATGACATTCCATCTAGTCCAGCCACCGAATTTGTCGCAGGTCCAGGTTGGGCTGAGCTCGCAGGTACTGTAGGGACTTGTGGTCCGTGCGAACAGTGACGTCGACGCCCACCAAATAGCAGCGCCAACCAAGTAGCAGCGCCACAGTTTGAACGCATCTATTATGGCGAGCATCTCCTTGTCGTGTATCGTGTAGTTGCGCTCGACTGACTGCAGCTTGAGTGACTCGTAGGCGATCGGCTGCAGACCCTTCCTGAATTCCTGGAGGAGTAAAGCTCCGATGGCGAAATTTGAGGCGTCGGTGGCGACTTCGAACGGCTTCGATGGGTCGGCAATGCGCAAAACCGGAGGGGAAACGAGGGAAATCTTCAACTCCTGAAAAGCCGCCTCAGCTTCCTCCCCCTGTCAGAATAATGAGCAGGGATGAATGAACTAGCAGCAGGATGGGTACAAATAGCAAACCCTAATTTGGGTTGTACCCCATATGGGCTACCCCACTACAGCTTACACAACAAGCAACACATAATTTGACACACCCCCATAGGCAAAGTGGGGGAGAACAAGAGGTCACAAGACCAGTCAAGAAAGGGAAAGCAAGCTTAGGGTGGATCACAACGTCACCACACAATCTGAGCACAAGCAAATGGCCACAAGGCCAGTTCACATGCAGAGTTCTATAAAAAGTAGAGCAAACAGTATAGTGATTACAACCTAGCAAGTGTAAGCATGCAGGTATAAGTATATAGATCACAGTACAAGCAAAGAAGTGAGCAAGTGAGGTTAGGTAGGCACATAGCCTAAAACATTACAGAAACGCTGATGATCACAAGGCGGAAGTGCCTTGGTGAAGATATCAGCACTGTTGGCCTGAGAGGCCACGTAAGCAAGACAAAGCTGACCACGTTGCTGCAACTCTCGAGCAAGGAGGTAACGCAGAACGATGTGCTTCGTCCTATGCTCCACTCTGTGCTCTTGACACAAGGCCAGCATGGCCTTGTTGTCGACGTAAAGAAATGGAGGAGAACAAGGCGCCTCCCCCAAGTCGGTCAGCAGGTAGGTGAGCCAGCGTAACTCCTGTGCAGCCATGGCCCCATCGTAGATCTCAGCCTCACAGTTGGAGCTGAGAACAGAAGACAAGTGGGTAGACTGCCACGAAACAGAGCCGGAACCAAGGCTGAAGGTGTAACCCTGTGATGATCGCTGAGTAGCCAAGTCGTCAACCCAAGAAGCGTTTGCGTGACCAGTGAGGACAACTCGACCTCGTCCTCCAAGCACGAGCCCCATGCCCGACGTACTGCACAAGTAGCGCGTCACCCTCTTAGCGGCCTTCCAGTACTCTGGTCGGTATCTCCCGGGCGCAACGTAGCGTGCCAGGATGCTAAGAGGGTAAGCAAGGTCAGGTCGAGCGCAGGCCATCAGGTCCATGAGGCAAGTACATGAGCTGTGGGTACGGGCTACTCGGCTCTACGGACTCATCCGAAGGCAAAGCTGAGAGCGAGTGACCGGTAGGCAGAGGGGTGGACTGTGGCGAGGAGTACTTGAAGCGGAAGCGCTGAAGGACGTGCTGCACCATGTGTCACTAAGTCAAGGTAATGGTGTGCCGTGCTCTGTCCCGGGTGATTTGCAAGCCAAGGTAGCTGCGCAGCTCACCCAGGTCTGTGCACGTGTGTCTCTTCTACAGCTCTGATTTCACGTGGGCCAATCCAGTAGTGTTAGCAGTGGCAAAGACCAAGTCGTCGACGTAC